TCCAGAGGTCTGGATTCAGGTCCAGAGTTGGGTCCAGAGGTCCAGATATGGATCCAGAGGTCTGGATTCAGGTCCAGAGGTCCAGATTTTGGTCCAGAGGTCGGGATTCAGGTCCAGAAGTCTGGATATGGATCCAGAGGTCTGGATATGGATCCAGAGGTCCAGATATGGATCCAGAGGTCTGGATTCAGGTCCAGGTCTTGCGCTGCTTTTGTCAGGAACATTCTGACTTCTGTAAATTTTTTTCAGAAACAACTTTGAAGCTAAAAACACTCGAGTTTGATTAAATCCAGTTTTTAATTAAAAGGTACAAACTAAGAGAAGAAACATTAAAAGTTCATCCTGAACGATCAGACGGAGTCGTCGGAGTCACTCCGGTAGTTCTCACGTGGATCATGTGGTTCTAAGTGCAGGTACGCACTGAATGTAAACAAAGCACTTCGTCTACAGACACAACAGACCGTTGGACTTCCTGTTTGCCATCGTTGATCTAATTTCAGTCCCTCCTGCTGTTTCTGCAGGTAAACAAACACATCTGGTTTTAAAGTTTGTTCATAAACTTTCAATTTAAAAACGTGGATTTTGTTTCTTTGTGACGTTTAGACGGTAACGGTCCTTGTAAAGTCACAAACGGACCACTCTGCGTGTCTGTACAAGTGGTAGAGTCAACAAAATATTCTGAAATATTAGTTTGATAGAACCATTTCTCCTTTTTTTTATTACTGTTTAAAATGAGAAAAAACAAATTTAGTTAAATATAAAACTTTATTTTGTGTTTGGCTTTTAAGGATCTTTAACATTTTTAACATTATTCAAGAAAACCTGCAGAAAAAAAAAACAGTTTCGTTCCAAACAACTGAAATATACTTTAATTATTAATTATTATTTCAACTTCTCAAGTAAAGAACATTTGTGGTTTTCAACACCAAAGAAACGAGGCAGAAGTCCAGAACGTTATTTTAAATAAAATCTGTGATCGTTCCTCACTGGAACGTTCAACACGGGTGTTGGAGGAAAGAGAAGCGTCGCTGCAGCTCGGGTTCCTGTTTTTATTTCTCCGAGTGGACTTTTGGACCCGGAGTTGAAAACGTTCTTCGTGTCACGGCACCGCAGGTGGTCAAACAGTTTCAGCCGTTTCTATTGAAACGTCTGTTTTTAGTTTGGTGTAAATGTGACGATCAGTGCTCCGAGTTAAAATGTGTTGAAACGTCGACAACGTCCTCGCGTTTCACTGCCGGTAGTCTGAGGCCCAGTTCAGACCTGTCATCGTCCATCAGTCTGACATGATGGACTTGGAGTGGACCGACCTGGCAGGTCGGCCTCACGGACAGAAACTGGAAGTTGGTTCCACAAGAGAACTGAAAACTCTGCCTTCCATTCTGGTTTTTTGGAAACTCTAGGAACCACAAGTAAACCTGCAGTCTGAGAGCGAAGTGCTCTGTTAGAAAAATATGGACCAATAAGATCTGTAATACAAGATGGAGCTAGGTTGTTGAGGGCTTTGTAGGTTAGAAGTGATTTTGAAAGGACAGAGTGACAAAAGGTTTTCTGAGGTTTCTATAGCTGTTCAATTGTTTCTTGATGAAGGAAATGGTCAGAACAGAGATTTAAAGGTTTCATCCGTGAAACAGTCTCAGTCAGAACTTTGTTCTGTTCAGAATCATAAGATTTTTGAGAACGACTCTAAACACAAACAAACAAACAAATAAATAAAACACGCTCATCTGCTGCGTGTCTCCTTTAACTTCCAGTGGTTCAAATCTGAGGTTTTTGTGACGTCAGTTCTGGTTTGAAGAATAAAAACTTAAAGTTTCTGTCTCGGTCCTCAGGGTCAGGCGGACCTGCTGAAACACGCCCGACTGGAAGTCCAGGAGAACCTGAAGCAGATCCACTACGCTGCGCTCACATGCAACCTGAGTAAAGGAGGCGCGGTGGGCGGCTCCTCCAGTTCCTCGGAGTCCAGGAGCAGACGGAGTCTGGAGGCCATCCCGGAGAAGGCCACAGCAGAGGAGGAGCTGACAGACGAGGAGGTCTGAGGAGTTGGGCTCCACAGACCCATCAACCAGTCCCGTCAGAGTCCACATGAACCCAAAGTCTTATCCTTCAGTTTTTCAAACCCGAGGTGGTGTGGAGCTCCGAGCATCACCTCGGAGGACCAGGTGGACCACAGGAGACGACCTCGGACCGTTGCAGAGGTTTAAAGCACAATTTTTTCAGAGCTGTGAAAATTCTTCAGAGGAGCGGAAACAAAACGTGTTACTGCAGAGCGCTTCGTTTGTTGCACCACCACAAATATAAGATTTATTTTATAAAAACTGTGTCTGCGCTGAAACAAAGTTTTATTTGTGTGGATTTTCTGAAAGTCTCAGTTTTCACAACGAAGACGGAACGTCTTCAAGTTTCACGTTCCGCTCGTTTCTGGGCGACTGTTACCAAAGTTCTTACGTTTGAGCTGATCTGACGCAACATTCTGGAGTTCTCCGGTCCCGGAACAACTTGTACGAAACGCTTTCAGGCAGACGGTTAATAAATGTCACCGACAGGTTTGGTTAAATTAAACTCCTGCTTCGTTCGTCTTGACCAACACGTAACAAAGTTCAGTTGGTTTCTCAGAACCGCTCACGACGACAGGATGGTCTGAAATGTGCCGAGTTTAGTTTGACCCAATCTGACGGGTCAGACCTGCTTCCACGGCTCCATCTCTGGGTTTTACTAACAGAACTGAACCCACTGGTCTTTGGATCCGGCCTCCAGTTTGATCAGGTTTTGTTCTGTGGACAATAACTTCCCGTGAAATGTAACAAAAGCTTCAGTTTCTGAGACTCGTTTTTCCAACAGCAGCCGATCGTCTGCAGCACAAAGTGCTTAACGAGAAGATCTTTCAAGAAACGTTAATTATAATAATCTAAGAAAAAAGTAATGTAAGAAAACAGCAGCATGGCTTGCCATGGTCACCATGGTAACCGGATCACCTGCCTCATTAGTGAGAGGCAGACGGAAAATAAACCTCAAACTGTCGCAATTCCTGAAGTGGCCAGAAAACAGATGTTCAGGTGAGTTTCTGTTCGTTTGAAGATAAAATGTGTCAAAAAGGTTTTCTTCTCTTCAACTACAAGATTTCTGCAAAATAAAGATTAGAACGTTGAAGCGTTTCAAGTTTAATAAAACCAGGAACCCAGTGGCCTAAAGCTAAAATACTCAAACGGTAAAGTGTCGGCACTTCTCCAGCTCTAAATGTTGGTTTTTGTTCTCCAGCTCTAAATGTTG